AATAGAACTTATCCATTTGATACCCACTGCGAAGTCTGTTTAAGAGGTCAACCGCCTCCTTATTGTTCAACCAGTTACTAAAAATCCCAGATCTGCATAGTAAATCCACATCCTCAGTACTGTCCACCAGGTAATCTAGGAGCACGTACTGTGTAGTTTATTGTCACACTAGGAGCGACCCCAAGCCCACCAAACCCAAGGGCTACATATCTGGAAGCCAATGAGGTTTCGAAATATTGCTTCCGTAGCTGGATGAATCAGCAAAGATGGGATTTCAAGATTACCGTCGTTCTTGTCGAATCTTACATCCAGTATGCTTCTTTTTGCAACTGTTTTAAATTTGACTCCTGCCTCCCTAAGTCTAGTGGCAGAAGGAATAGAACTACAATTAATCAGGGATTGCGACTGCTTTGGCTGCTGTTGTTTGCTCTCTTTTGCTGAGGAACACAGATAACATCCCCAATTAATCCTGGATGGCGACTGCTTCGGCTGTTGTTTTTCTCTCTCTTTTGCTGAGGAACCCAAATAACGTACCGTAAGATCAATGATATGAACGATCCTTGAGCTGCCGTCAAGAAGCTCATTCGATATCAGATGTTTATCATCTGATGAGAATGCGAAGCGGATGAATGTGATAGCAAGTTCAACCAAAGTCATTTTGCTTTCCGGGCCTCTAGTCTTGTCAAAAAAGAGAGCTCAAGTACAAACCAAGGTATTTGGTTTTCTAGCAAAAATAGATCATGGTAAATAGTGAGAATCATACCACTTGAGAAGAGTATATACTCACTTTCCTGTAGAGATACCTCTCCAGCACCTCTCCGGAGCAACTCGATAATAAAGCAACCATCAAGTACCAAGAGTTTATCGAATTCCTCTTAATTTGGTAACATAAGTGTCTCCCTCATAACATTCAACAGCCTTGTTCCCCACCGCTTTGATGGCTTCTTCCAATTCTTTTTTCTTGTCCGACCTAGCATTTTTCAATTTTTCTCTTATGGCCGAAATGGCTCCTTCCAATTCTTGTTCGTTGGCTGATGTATCTGCTTCAACATTTACGTGTTGGCGTTCAACTAAGCGCTCTATTAGTCCTTCGAAAAGCATCTCTTTGAATTGTTTTGTAGCAATCATCAGTTCTTGTTTGTGGTAGTGCCAGGGACCAAATGAAAATGCATGGGGCGTATAGGCCCACTCATTTTGCATCTTGAGCATGCTTGGAATTCTGAAAATGGAACTCCTGAGATTTCCCTGCATCCTTCTTGATGTCAAATGACAATCTATATTAAGTATCGTTGGATCAATGTTCCCCGTGACCCTCCATATTCTGGATGAAATAATTTCTTTTGGTTCTTTGATCTTAAGAAACCATTACTCATCCATCACAGCTTGATAAAATTCATTAAAGAATGGATACGTTGGGATTGTTTTTATGTTGACTTGTCATATTTGAATAAATTTACTAAGAATGGCCTAAAGTCTAAGGTGAGCTAATCATGCCTTAAATGAGAGGCCTATCATACCTTGGTTAATGGTCCCCTGCCAAATATGTAGGCTAAGCTACCTAGATTTTAATTATTGTAAAATATTCAATTATTTTTATTTACTTTCGTCAGCATATGTCCTTGCTTTGAATTTCATAACCTCCATTCGGAGACTTCAATATTGAACTCTTTGGTTGGACGATGGATGGGTGAGGGTTGGGGCATCCAGCCATCCATCCTTCCCCAAATAATTGCACCTTTGTTTTCATTATGTTTGAATAACTTGGAATGAACTTGGTCACATGGGTGTAAAAGCTCTCAATCTGTCATATATTCACTAAATCAAAATTTTTATCTATTTACATGTATTTCACTTTTAAATTCAACGTTTTCCGTATACAACTATTTAAAAAGTCCATGGCCTTATCTACCCAAAAAAAGGGCCAATAAACAGTCTAAATTATATGCAATATATGACCCATGGAGAAGAACCAAGTTTTGTTCAGTGATGTAGGTGAGGGAGATGCATTGCTTTGAACTCATTCCATCCTTTGAATCCAAGCACTTCATCCACTTTCTAAATGCCATACTCTTTAGCCAGCTAGCCAAAATATATGTTATTCCTCAAACATTCTTTTTCATCTTCACATCATGTCATTGTTGTATTTTGATTACAAAATCAAATAAAATAATAATCAATGAACTTATCAAAAAATATTAATAAGAAATTATCATCAAAATATATGTGAAAAACTTATTTATTTTAAGGCAATTCACACCTCTGCGAGGTGTAATTTTAAGGCGATTCACACCTCTGCGAGGTGTAAATTGACTGGTACAACAAAGATATATATATATATATATATATATAGCATGTTGTCTTTA